GTTCAAGAATTCTTGGAGTGCAAGACAAGCATTAGTAGTTTTAGTAGTATTAGGATTTTATTACCATGTTGCTTTTCATTCTAGAATTAGGAGATCTAATTAGCTTAGGCTTAGATTTATTTTATGCACCTATAAATAGGGGTCTTCCCTCATTGTTTTAATAGTCCAGAATTGATGAGTTGAATAGGAAAGAACATTTGTTCATCCGTGTGTTAGGATTCGTGAGAGTTCGATCATGCAATCGAATTAGTGAGGCTAAGACCCGAGCTAGTTCAAAATCGAGGGAGCAAGGCTAATTACTGAGTGAACTCAAGTATCGTGAGAGAGTTAGACAAATAACCGAGTCGATCACTCCTATTGTTGAGAGCAAGGCCGTGGCGACGCATTGTTCGAGGCAAGCGAGTGGAATGAAACACACGATCCATCATCACAGCACGCCGCCAGCACCCGTACGCCACCCGTTGCACCAACTCTGAGACCGAGCAACCGTCCGTCTGAGCTTCGTTTGATGTGTCGATTAGAATCGACTAAAGGCCGATGAACTACACCAACGGTACTCTACATCGTCTCAGAGTCGACGAAAATTTTAAAAGGTAAACGTCTATATCCTGACTATAGATTCCGCTGCGTTAGGATTTATTTCGATAAGTTCAATATTGTGCATGTTGTTTGACATTCCTCATAGAACCCAACATACTTATAACTACACTTGTGCGATATCACTCAACCAGATAGTTCATAATAGCATGTTTGCACAACGAACCCGCATAGCCTCGGTATTTTCAAGATAACAGGAGTTACAAGTAAGATATTCAGGTGATTCCAAAACCAATGAGCAGTTAACACATGTATCCACAACTTTCATGTTTATCACTTAAGCCAACAATAACTTTAAAACCGAGTTTAAGCATAAAACAGTTAGGTCAAGAAATCTGCCAACATAATTATTTATCAAATTATAGCACTTCACTAAAACAGCTATACAAACTCAAAACCTACAGAATCTATACTTGGAATGCTACAAGTTTCAAGAAGAGAAATTTTATAAATAATTACGTTAAGGGCATCCTTTCAGATCATACATTCTGAGCATATACACAGCCACTGTTTTTAAAAATTCTGGGCACAACCCCCAACTTTGAAAAATCATATAAAACGAACTAAAACTCCAAATTTCATGATTTTAACTTCCTGTTAGAGCTTATAACATTTACTACAAGTATCATGATGATCACATTTTCATATTGCCGCAATAGAATCATCAAAAACAACCCGAATTTTATATAAATTGCATGCATGATTTCAAAAATTCATAATAAATTCAAATCATCTCCAACTTTCAAAATTCCAATCTCACTTCTCATGATGAACACATGTCCAAGAAACAACTTCTTGGTTACGAAAAACTGAGCACAATTAGAGGCTCTAACATGGAGTTCTAATTCAATTTCAGCACAAAACATATATTCAGGTACATAACATCGAAATCACATAAACACGACATATATCGTAAACATATTCATCAAAATAAATAGAGTTATCAACCTGATACTATTCTCGAGAATACGTACGATAAACGAGCTACGGGATGTTCGAACGGGCCGAAGGTACGCGCGCTCGGCAGCTCGGCAGCAAGGCTTGGCCCGTGCGGCGCTTGGGGAGTCGTTTACTTGCTGCGGGTGGCTTGCTCAAACACCGGACCGAGGCAACGACCAGGGCTCAGCGATCGAGAACTCGCGAGTAGGTACGGTGCGATAACAACGATGGTACGGCTTGCGGGACGCAGGGTTCTCACACGAAAGCTGTGACGAGCTTGGCCGCGGTGGACTGAACTTCAGGCGTGACAGAGTCGCAATGGCCACAGGCCGATGAGCGACGACAAAGGGAGGGGCTTATGACCACGACGGCGATGGGACCAGGCGGGCTGACGATGGTGATACCACGTGAGGGGCGAGCGGGCCTAGATTCCTTGTAAACAATCAGTGACGGCAACAAGGGACCGCGACAGGATGTTGCTAGCGGTGGGGAAGGGCTCGCGAAACGGACGGCACGACAGGGACCACCGGGACCTGCGCGTGGGACTGAGCACGAGACGGGGAAAGGGACTCTCCGGCTCTCTGCTTCTCATCTGCAAGGTGTTGCAGGAACGCCAGGCGCTACACTCGACAGTGATGGCAGATGAAGAAGGTGATCAGATGGTGATGGTAGTCTGCTGATTTACTATGCACGGATTTTTGCTTCTTTCACGATGGCATGAGATTGTGATGATGATGGAACAATGTTGAAGATGGCGATGAGGGCAGGATGATGGTGTGCTGAATCGAAAAAAAAAGCGAGAGGGAGTCTTCATTAATGTTTTATGTTCATACTGCGACCATACCTTTACAGTTTATGATTATTGAATATTGATTACTGCATAGTGGTGAGCACCTCGATTTTTCAATTGTGCTCATCCCCACCTTCTCTTCATGGATGCAGGTTAGTACTCGCTGGCACGACAAGAGGAGGCGAGTGGTGGTCATGTTACTGAATTTATTTCCGCTGCTTTGAACTGCCTAGTATTGTTTATGCATTCTGATTAATGTCGATTTTTGGATTATTGATAGGGATTGTACTCCCCAATTTTTATGTATTTGAGAAAACCCAGTTTTGGGAAATTGATTTTATTGATGAACCCAGTTTGGGTGTTGACCTGATTTTTGGAACACGTTTTGGGAGTTGCATTTATGATGTCTTTGAAAATAGTTTTTCAAATAGTAGTGCCGCCAAAGTTGTAATAGCCCACTATATTATTAATGTAAATTTCGTGTTTAACTCTGTAATGTTCATGTTTATGCTCAGAATAATTTCCAAGTATTTAATTTCATGTATTATAAGTTAATCCATGTCACCGCTCGATAAAATAATACCGAGCCTAATTGCCTTGATCTTGTGCGCAGAGCCGTCTCCAGGAATTCGGAGGCCTTAGGCAAGTTTTCTCATTTCGAATTTTCTCCATTTGAACTTACGTGGTAATTAGGGCTATTCGCAGATAGAATCATAAATTTTAACGAGACTATTAAATAAATAAATAAATAATTGAAAAAAAAATCTTGTTTTTCTTGAACTTGGAATTGATAAATTACCTCCTTGCTACAAAAATATTTAATAAATTACAATCAACCAATCACGAGGACACTAAAGACAAGAAAATAAAAATCATATCACTACAAATGATATTTATTTTCACACAACTTGTTCTGACCGAACATCGTACGAAAACAAATGAAATATTTTTGGCCTCAATTTTCCACACAAACTACATATTCTGCCATTAGCTCCTTCATTTGTGCAATGATTTAAGTTCATATTTAGCCATTAACCCCTTCTTTTGTGTAAATATTGTGTAAATAAACAAAACTTAACACAAATACATAATATTAAAAAAATAATGAGGCCTCATTTATGTAGATAGAAAAAACTCAACACAAATATATAATATTAAATATATATATATATATATATATATATATATATGAGGCCCCAAATAAAAGGGAGGCCCTAGGCCCATGCCTAGGTTGCCTCCCCAGGAGCCGGCCCTGCTTGTGCGCCCTATTTCATTACCGCGTGTTCAAGTATTATTATCGCACGCCAATGACGCTTAGCAAGGCCTAAACGTGCGCTGATTGCCAATTGTCCTTAGCACATTAAGCAATTGTGCTTAGCCCAAGCATTAGCCGAAAAAAACATATATACAAAACTTAGCCCAAGCAATTGTGCCTAAACATGCTCCTGCCTCTTCCGGTTGGCATAGACCTTCTGCCTTTGCTGGGCAGCCCTGATGGTCTTCTGGATCTCCTCAATTGTTGCCGCAGTACTACGAACAAACTCCAGACCCATAATCTTCCTCTCTCCAACCTCATCCCAATACAAAAAAGTCTGAACCTTTCGTCCGTACAGCGCCTCATACGAGGCCATCTTGATCGAAGAGTTGTAGCTATTATTGTAGGTTAGCTCGACTAAGGAAAGGGCATACCAAAGTCAGGCTCTGATCTAAGACCACAACCCTCAATATATCCTTCAAGTACTGGATCGTACGCTCCGACTGACCATCTGTCTCTGGGGAAAGGCACTGAACTCCAACCTCGTCCCCATGGCTCAGTGAAACGTCTTCCAGAACTGGCCGGTGAACTTTAGATCATAATCAGACACAATCTCAACGGGCACCGCATGAAGCCTAACAATATCCTTGACAAATAATTCGGCGTAATCACTCGCCTTCATGTCGTCCGAACTGGCAGAAAGTGGGAAGAGTTCATGAATCGATCCACGATCACCCAAATAGAATCATGCCCAGACCTCGATCTAGGCAAACCCACTAGGAAGTACATGGTGATGCACTCCCACTTCCACATGGGAACCTCAAGGGGCTTCAACAACCCTCTCAGTTTCTGGTGCTCAGCCTTCACTTGCTGACACACCAGACACCCATCCAGGAACCTCGCTTCCTGCATCTTCATGCCTTGCCACCAGAAAGACTTCTTAAAGTACTGGTACATTTTCGTGCTACCAGGATAGACGGTGTATGGAGCACTATGGGCCTCCCTCAGAATCTCCTTTAGCAACTCCCAAACCTTCGGAACACAAAGTCTACTCTCGAAGAGTAAAGCTCCGTCGGTTGCAACTGCGAATCCACCAATCTGACTACTAAACGCCAAATCTTTCATTCGGCACATAAAATGGTCATTCGGCTACCCGACGACTATCCTCTCTCGAAGAGTTGGTCCCACAACCAAGGCGGTCAACACACCCTCGGCTGTCAAAGTCGACTCCACTGCCTCTAGTTGTAGTCGCTCGAACTCCCGAAGCAGAACATCTTTCCCGGTGAATAGGCAAGACTGCTGGCCATAACTTCTTCGACTAAGGGCATCGACTACCGCATTAGCTTTCCCGATATGGTAGCTAATGGTGGTGCAGTCATAGTCCTTGACCAACTCCAACCACCTACGCTGTCGAATGTTCAGCTCCTTTTGAGTGAAGATGTACTTTTGGCTCTTGTGGTAAGTAAATATCTCACACTTGCCTCTATAGAGGTAGTGCCGCCAAATCTTTAAGGCGTGGACAACTGCAGCTAACTCGAGATCATGAGTGGGGTAGTTCTGCTCGTGTGGCTTCAGCTGCCTCGAAGCATAGGCTACGACTCTCTCCTGCTGCATGAGAACACAACCCAAGCCCATCTTTGAAGCATCACTATATATCGTGAACTTCAAAGTAGGGTCGGGTATGGACAAGACGGGCATGGTAGTGAGTCTCCTCTTCAACTCCTGGAAACTCTCCTCGCACTTAAGACTCCATTCGAACCTCACGGCCTTCTTCGTAAGGTTGGTTAGTGGTTGGGCTATCTTCGAGAAGCCCTCGATAAACCTCCGGTAGTATCCTGGTAAGCCCAAGAAACTACGAACATTAGCGGCACTTCTTGGCGTTTCCCACTTGCTCACTGCCTCAATCTTGCTGGTATCCAACTCAATGACTCGAGCTGTCAAAATGTGGCCAAGGAATGCCACACGATCCAGCCAGATTTCACACTTCGAGAACTTAGCGTACAGCTTCTCGTGGTGAAGAGTCTCCAGCACAATCCTCAGGTGCTCCTTGTGCTGGTCGATGTCTGGATAGTAAACCAGGATGTCGTCGATAAACACAAAGACAAACTGGTCCAGATAGGAATAAAAGACCTGGTTCATAAGGTCCATGAATACTGCTGGGGCATTGCTCAGCCCGAACGACATTATTACAAACTCATAGTGGCCATAATGGGTACGGAAGGCAGTCTTAGATATATCTGACTCTCGGATCTTCAGTTGATGATAGCCAGACCGCAAATCGATCTTTGAAAAGACGTTGGCTCCCCTCAGCTGGTCGAAAAGATCCTCAATACGAGGAAGGGGGTACTTGTTCTTGACGGTAAGGGCATTCAACTCCCGATAGTCAATACACATGCACATCGATCTGTCTTTCTTCTTCACGAATAGGACGGGCGCATCCCACGGCGAAACACTCGACCGAATAAAACCGAGTCTGAGCAACTCTTAAATTTGGGCCTTGAGCTCCTCAAGCTCCTTTGTCGCCATATGGTTAATGGGCTTTAGAAACAGGACCGACTGCTGGCACCAAGTCAATAGTGAACTCAACCTGGCGGTCGGGCGGTCCTCTGGGCAGTTCATTGGGAAAGACGTCGAGGTATTCGCAAAAAATCGAAACTCTCTTTAGAGTTCACTCGGAATCATCTTCGGACACCAAAGACACAAGATAGCCTTGCCAGCTATCCTTGAAAAGGCTCTTCCTAGCTTGCATAGAAGAGATGACTTGAGGCACAATCCTCGATTTTACCCCAAAGAATACAACTGGCTGATTAGAAATGGGAAAGAGAGTGACTTTGCGCTCCTGGCACCAGATGTCGGCTCGATAGCGTGTGAGCTAGTCCATGACCAAGATTACGTCAAAGTCTCGCATTTCAATCACATACGCACTGGCCTCCATAACTCGCCCACCAATACTAACTTGAGGACTCTTAACAAGGGAATCAGAAATAAGAATCTTTCCCGAGGCTAGGCTGACCTCTAGAGGATCACAATGGCACACATTACTAATGGATAGGGCCTTCAAGCAATGAGAAAAGATAAAGGAGTGGGTGACCCCCGTGTCACATAATGCAAAACATGCACGTTCTATATAGAGAGAATTCCGGACATAGTACCTGCGTTGTTGGCTGCCTCATCATGAGTGATAGTATAGACTCGGGCCTGACCTACCGCCCTCTACTGGTAGGGTGGGGGCTGTTTGGGATACTGCTGCTGGTGGGGTGGTGGTGGAAGCTGCTGCTGCTGAGGGTAAGGTGGCTGCTGTTGTGGCCTCTTCGACACGGGGTACACATGTGAAAAGTGTCCAACACACTGGCAGTTGAAACAGTTCATGTCGGCTGCTCGACACTCTCTTGGCCCATGGAACTTGCCGCAGTTAGGGCACCTCGGGAGTTGTCCCTGAGGGGGTCAGTCATCACGCCTCCCGAAGTTCCCTTTCTTTCCTTTCTTCTTGTTCTGATGGTAGACGGCCTTACTCTTGCCCGAATTAGAACCGGGCGCAACAGCTGAGATAGGCTGAATCAAGGGGTCTGCTGATAGGATGGGGCAGCCGCCCTCTGGGCATTCTGGCAAACCTCTAATTCGGTGGCTCGGCGGACCATCTCGGAGTAGGGCAGAACTCTGTTGCCAGTAAGGGTATAACAGAGATCGTGGCAAAGATTATCACGGAAGCGAATGGCCTTCTTCTCATCGATATCTACGAGCATCAAGGCGATCGTACTTATACTGTGAAGTCGCGCTCGTAGACATCCACGGGACGGGCTCCCTGTTTAAGCTGCTAAAGGTCCTTCATCATCTAGGTACGGTAAGCCTCCGGTTAATACTTATGTTTGATTATGGCAACCATCTGGTCCCAAGTTAGAGCGTCCCTCTCAGCTTGACGACGAAGCCTCCAGTAGTCGGACCACCATGCTCCAGCACCTCCAGTCTTCTGGAATGTGGCACAACGGACCATCACCTCATCGGTGGTGAAAAGAAGGTCGAATATACGCTCTAGCTGCAGAAGCCATCAGCCACAAATTGGAGGCCCTCAATCCCAGTGAACGCCGGTGGATGCATGTAATAGCCCACTATATTATTAATGTAAATTACGTGTTTAATCCCGTAATATTCATGTTTATGCTCAAAATAATTTCTAAGTAATTAATTTCATGTATTATAAGTTAATCCATGTTCAATCATTCAATGAAAAAATTACCAAGCCTAATCACCTTGATCATGCGCTAATCATTCTATCAATTGGCTTAATCGGCCATTAATTCGCACAATATTTCTGCATTGCCGAGAGGTTGCGCATGATCACCTCATTGATCACGCTAATCGAAATTAATCTAAGGCCAATCATGCTTAAGCACTAGCCGTCCAATTGCTTAGTGCAAAGCACGATTAAAGTAAGCTTAGCACACCCTTAGGCCGTAAGTTTTGCTAATGGCCGAAAGTTGGGGCATAATGTCATGTGCTCTCATCATTACTCTTAGAACGTGTGGCAACGTTTTAGCAATTCAAGTGATGTCTAGGACAAGTCCTTAAGTGCCACATATACCATGACTAAGCAAGGAGGAAGCCACCTAAGGCTCTAAGCTCACGACAAGTGTCGGCGGCCGATTAGCCACGTCAATTACCTCATTAATTTTATCCAACTTTATCTTCATTTACCCAAATATATATAAGAGACGTTGGGTAATTTTTATCTTACGCATAAGCCATATACTAAGCAAGATAAGGAAAAGTTAAGCCATATTCTGTCGCACACGCACGCACGAACGTACGAGGACCGAACGATCACGAGAATCTTGTATCATTGAGAGGGTAATCTCTACTTGACTCTATTTTAATGTTAATATTATCATGCTAAGTTCAAATCATGAAGCTAAGTTCACGAATAAGCTATATTTTCTCTCGACCGTACCATTTAAGCCATGCCAAGCCATGTCCATTTTTATTCGGCAACTCCCGAGCTATTCACGTTTCATTAGTCATTATTGGATATTGGATATATTATGATCAGTCATGTATCCATTGTCGAAGGAAGTTGTCGATCGGTCGAAGAAATCGGTCGAAGCCATGGGCTCCGCTCGTCGCGCATGCCACGACCGATCCAAATTTCATCGGGCTTATTCATGATCCTTTGAGCAATTTATGTAGAGTAAAATATATTTTTCGTCCTGTATGTTTACCCCTCTAAACATTTTAGTCCTCTTCGAATTGCGTTTTTGATTTCGTCTCGTATGTTTGAAAAAAGGTTACAGAAAGGTCCTTTTCGCAATAAAAAGGTCCGTTATGTTTTGCAATAAGGTATTCCAATTTCATCCCTTATGTATGAAAAAGACCTTTTTGTAACCTTTTTTCAAACATACGGGACGAAAATAAAAAACGCAATTCGAAGAGGACTAAAATGTTTGGAGGGGTAAACATACACGACGAAAAATGCATTTTACTCATTTATGTATTATTGGTCATTTAATATCATGTTATGATCATCCATGTTGTAATCATCGGAAAACGTCGTTGGACGGCCGGCAAGAGCCAGTCGTAGTTGCCATGCTCGCACGCAGCGGGCGAGCGTACCGGCAATCAGGCAAGGTCGAGCGGG